GTGCGTCAGGGCGCTGCGCTCTGCCTTGCCCCTCGCAGGTGGCGGTGGGGCGGCTCGGCGCGGGCATGGACCACGGTGACTTCCCCGGCCCGGGGGCGGCGGCGGCAGGCGCTGAAACCTCAGACCTAATGGAAACTGGGGGCGATGCCAGATCGGCACCTCGGCGGGGAGGCAGAGGAGGAGGCGGCGGCGGCCGTGGCGGGGTTCCAGCGACTGCCGAGCCCAGCGCTCCCCCGGCTGCGGAGACGAGCATGAATATTGATGGGCCCGTCGGTGGCGGCAGGAGCGGGGCGGCCGCTGCGGCAGCGCCGGGAGCCCCTGCCCCGCCGCTCCGCGCCCCCTGCTCCAGGGATCCCAAACTGGTCCATCAGCGGTTCCTGCGGAGGAGCGTGGTGGACTCGGACCAGGAGGAGCCTGCTTTCGACCTGCCCGAGTCCGAGCACCAGAGGAAAATTATCCTGCTCCCCAAAACCCGGAGGATAATTGCGGAGAGGGCGAAGGCAGGGCACGGGGCCGCGGAGAAGGTGGGCCTGGGGGCCGAGCCTTCTGGGGAGCCGAAGGCAGCGCCAGCCCCCGGCAGTGTCGTGGGGGCTGAAGAGCAGAAGGAAGCGGGCAGAGATGTGGAGAGGAAAGAGGCGTCGGACGCTGCCAAGGACCAGAGCAAGGCTAAGAAAGAGGAGCCTGAGGAGGAGGCCGATATGAAGGCGGTTGCCACCTCGCTGGATGGCAGGTTCCTAAAGTTTGATATTGAACTCGGGAGGGGATCCTTCAAAACGGTCTATAAGGGTCTGGACACGGAGACGTGGGTGGAAGTTGCATGGTGTGAACTTCAGGTAAGCTGAGCTGATCCTCCTGTGTTTTTTCTGCTTTGTAAGCCTAGGGGCTAAGGGCAACATGCCGGTGTCATCTACAGAAGCTCGGCTTTGAGCAGCCTTTATAGTCACCATCGCTTAGTATCCAGTGTCTAACTATAGCGCAATATTCTCATTGGCTCCCAGTCCACCACCTTATGTACACTCCTCCCAGGCTTAACCCTCTCAGCCCTGGGACCTGACCGCCGACGCTAACGATGTTAGTGTAGGACCTGTCGTATTGCATAAAAAGGTCATGAGTTACTCGCTCTGAATGCGCAGAGCATGCCGACAAGAGCTGAACGGAGCTCCTCTCTTCCCCCCGACCCCCAGCCGCTGCGGGCTGATGCTTCAGAAGGCAGCGGCTTGATTTAGCAGGAGTGGAGCAGCAGGTCTCTATTAAAAAGGCGCTGAACATAAATGAACTTGGGAGTGCATTTGCAGGGGTGAACTTTCCTTTTGCTGTGAATATAAATGCATTATGCTTTTATAAAGATTGAAGACCTGCTGCCCCCTTGCTCGCCCTTTCCCCTGCTCTGAAATTGTGACTGTTGCCACCTTCTTTTGAATCAAACCTCCAGAAATACCTCAGTGCTTGCCTCTTTTTAGGCGTCATGAGCTAGTGCTTCAGTTAGGTCAAAGACCTGTCTGTCCAAATACCTTTTACAAAGAAGATTTTAAATAAAAGATTCGACTTGAGTTCTAGATCTTGAGAGTGAAGTCATCCAGTAATGTCTAAAGAGAGTGAAGGTTTAGATACTGTCTTTTGCTGGTTGGGGACATTGCCGTTGCCCTTAGTGATTTTTAGATTCTGTAAAAATGACAGTAGCATATGCTTAATTTTTTTCTTTGTGAAGCTTTTAGTGGCTGTTACCTCATTTCTGTTGGCATCCGTTTGAATGAGACCTATCTAAGAAAGACCTGAGACAGAATTTTTTTTTGAGCTATTACTCTGTCTGAGTTACTTTGTAATTTTGGTGGGAACCAAAAGATTTAACTCTTAGTTATAATTTGGGGTCCTTAAATGCCCACTGGCTGACTGAGCTTTATGGCCTACCAGAGTATTTGAGAATAGCATGTAAATAATGTGACATAACAAGCCTGAGCTTCCGATTGTTTATTTTTAATGTTGGCCCAATCTGTTTGTAAGTCGCTCCTGGCTTCCTGGGATAGGTGGGGATGGATGTACAACCACATCTATTCCCTAATGATTTCATTACACAATATAATCACAATCCACTGCAGCGCTGCTTCCTTATGGAGTACAAGGAGCACTTCTCAGTCTTCATAGTTGTGCGTTCCCCTGGCTTTTATTAGACAGGGATGCAGAACGTAGAGCCGCAGCAGCTGGACAAGGTACGCCGCAGAGTAGAAGATGTGATGGGCTGGTGCTGAGGGGTTTAACCCCTCTCCCCCAGCCTGGAGGGGTTCTGGGGGGCTCATGGGGAAAGGGGAGAGCCTGTGGGATCGCCAAGGGGATTTAAAGGGGAGTTGAGTGAGGTGGGCGCTGCTGGGAGGAGAGCCTTGCCGCCAGGCCTGGTCTTTGTCTGGCTTCTGCTTGAAGCTGAATCGTGAGCGTGTAAGGCTTTTACTTCGGCAGCCTGAGATGTATTTTGGATGATAACTGGGATGCTGTCGGAGGAAAGGTTTGTCCGTAGGAAGAGGCTGATGTTGTTCAGCTGTCGGCCTGAGCAGCGCAGCCCAGCTCTGTCACTGCAGAGCAATCGCACAGATCAGGAATTCATCTTGTTGCCAAATTTTCTCGGTATGCTCTAGCAGGGGAATTGAAATAGATGCATTTTTCAACATATTTTCTGTAACAGAATAGCTTTAATGACAAAAGACTGCCAAATGTATTGGAGAACCCGGTGTATGGAAATGCCAGTGTTTGGGTCACACCTAAGAAAGAGATTGGGAAGGGAAAATTGCAGTATGAAGCTTACCTGATGATTGGTTTTCTCATTTCAAGTTACACTGGTTTAGGAATTCCTGAACTGACTGCATGTGAAGAAATCATCTGTAATAATTCCCTAATTCCCACTAGTTTCCATTATACATGCTTCAGCTTAAATCAGATCTTCCTACTAGATATTTTCAATTTAATAAAGAATTTATTTTAGGGCTCTAATCGTAGAAAGAAAACTCTCTTTATTATTTGACTGCTTTAGAGAAATTGGTGTGAATCCGTAGAAGTAGGTGAGGGCTGCTGGTTCTCCTTAAACACTGCTGTCTGCTTGCGGTGCAGATTTGGAGGTGATGCCGGAGGCCAGGTAATGTGAGATGGTATGTGATTTTTGAAAGCCAGTACTTTAGTCTGGATTGGGAAAGCCTGAATGACAAAAGGCTTTACTCACCATGGGATTAAAGCCTTTGCTTCTAGGATGAGTTTGCATGAAGGAAGCAATCAGGAGAAGGTGTGAATAGCTGTGTGTTGTCTTGGGCTTTTTGGTTTGTAGAGTACTGTCTTAACCCGACTAGGGAGTTTTATTGGGAAAACAGAGGGTGCTGTCAAGTAATTGCTTCATTCATGGCACTTTGAAAATTTTTGTAAGCTGTGCCAGTTAGGTATGCCCCCGTTTGTCTCGTTTAATGCTAAGTTCAGGTATACACAACAGAAGACCAAGTGGAAGCGATCGTCACCATCCTGTTGAAGACAAAGTGACTTCACTTCCTCTGCAGTCTCCACCATCAAAACCCATCCTAGAGCCTTTTTGTGCAAAAATGGCAACAAATTGTACTTTGTCCTCTGGAGATGCACTTGTGCTTGTTACTTCCAGAGCTGGAGAGTTAAAAACTAACAGTATTGAGGTTCTATGCAGGCATTAATCCTCTGTCCTTGCTCAGCATTTTTTTCAGCCCAGTTGTACTGTTGCCTGTGTGTTTATCTCTTTCTGTCCGTCTGTACAAAGACCTTGCGAGCCATTCTTGTTCAGTGGTTTTATTTCATTGAAAAGATGGCTTTAGGGTTCAGAACCGAAGTTGTGGCTTGGATTAGGGTAGGATCCAAATGCTAACCAAACTAGATCTGGGGTTTAGGCCTGCCTGAAGATGGGAAAGCTGTAGTCAAATTCTACCTAGAAAATAAATTTATTGTTCCTTCCTGAAACTGGTGTATTGGAGCAGGATTAGTGTGCCCTTGCACTTTGGAAAGGTTTGCATTCTAAGGTTTTCAACAGCTATAATTAATTTTAATTGGTGGCATACAATTGCTGTGTGGTGAGGCTTCAGTGTAACAGTATTTCAGTGTTGTGCTCCTGAGTAAAATGTTAGGTCATGAATAAGGAATATAGGCTTTTGCCAGTCTACTGCTGGCAAGCCAAATACTCCTTTTAGTTAGATGAACGGTTTCAAAGTCCCCATCCTATTTCTCTTTGGGAAGACATAGGGAAACTGCAGAAGAGTCAAACCTGGTACTATCTCAAATGCAAGGACCTCAGTGTACTTTATGGTTCTCGCTTGGACTGTGAATACCGAGCTGCTGTTTGTATTTTATTTTAGTTTTTTTGTTGAAAATATGGAAGGGATGGACTGTCTCATCCTGCTGTTGCTGTACCCATGGTGGGAAGGTCAGAAATGCCTGTTGTTGAACACCACAGGGGTGCCAGGCTTTTTCCACTGGTTGCCCAAGACTTGTTCTCCACTCCACGTACTGGTGCGTAGATGGATGCTGGTTTCTTCAGGACACTTGCCCTCCAGGTGCTCTGTGTGAGAATGCGTGGGAGTCCTTGGTGCTCCCTGGGACAGAGCTCAGTTCAGGTATCGGATGTTAGAGGTATTTGGGGAGCTATGTGAGAGTGAAGGATGGGCAGAGGTCAACTCTCCCTCCCCCGCCCATATAGCTGAAATTAGAAATCAAGGGTATTAGAATAGCTCTGATGGCATTTTCCAAATGGCCACCAAACCAAGGGGTCTGTAATGGTAAAACAACCACGGATAGACATGTTGCTCTAAGGTGGCAATTTCTCACCCCCTGCACCTGCAGCTTTTCTGCCAAGCTTCTAGTAGTATAGTTCTGTAGGAAGAACTTAATTATCTTTACAAGATAAGCGTTTTACTTCATAGTGTTGTAGCACTTTCCTCTTTATGTCATTGCCAGTCTTTTCAAATGGCCTGAACCAAAGAAAAAACGCAAAAGTACATTGTATGTCTTAAGTCACTCAGGTATTCGGGAGTTTCAGATTTTTGGAGGGCACAGATCTTAACTGAAAATTAAGTTCTAAATGTGGATGCATTTCTGAATGCTTCTTTCACTTGATTCATATGCAATATTAATATGGGAACAGGTAATGTATTTTCTTGATCTCAGTTTTTATTCCTGAAATGAGAAGCTCATTCAGATTGGCCAATAGCTGACTGATTTTAATATGGCATGCACATTCTAGAAGTACAAGATGAAATTAGACTTTGTTTTAATGCAAGGTGATTAAAAAGGGCATTTAAAATCATTAGTGCTAGACCTATGTGAACTTGATCATTTTTGTTTCTAAGGCTGATAATCTTTCCTTGAAGTAAAATTGCTAGTTTGGGTGGAGGAAGGGAGGAAAAGCATGCAGTTTATTTCTAAGTGTGTTACCTTATGTGTGAGAGAAGGCTATGATGCTTATGTAACTATTTTCTTAAATTTTTAAGCAGTGTTTTCCATCTTATGTCCACTTTAGATCTGTGGTAGTTGTTTAGAGTGATACCAAAGGTGCATGGCTCGGATCTTTCTGTGTAAGCAGGTATGTTTGCATGGTTAAAAGTGGGAGCCTGTAAAATGGACAATGTTAATGCAAATTCACTTTGCTCTATCTGGCAAGCCACTTCTGGCAAAATTATGTGGAGTTAAATTATGTGGAAGGAGAAGGATGTCCTCTGCCCCTGTATCAAGAATCCAGGGGATTTCTTTCTGAAAAAGGTAACATCTTTTACTGGTATTGTAGTTTGGCTTTTGGTGGTGTCCTTGTTGGCTGACAGCTTTCATCTGATGTCGAAATAGTAGC